CAAAGAAGAAAATTAATAGAAAGAGGAAATAAAAACGAAAACCCCCCCCCCCGAGTACTAAATGAACTTCCCCTCCTGAAAGTAAACGTGTTTTTTTTTATGACGCCGATTGGCGGCTTTAACCCGGACGGGAAGCACTCGGCATAAAACCCAATGATTTTCTACACATTTTTCTCCAGAAAATTTTTACATTTCGTTCCTCCCTTCGAAAAGAAATTCGACTATGATCTTTTTGTAACCCTGACACAATAATAATTTCAAAGATTACAACGTAGAACATGTGCCTGAAGTCTTTAACGATATCCCTCTGCCGGGTTGCTTATTTTAGAAGAAATTCTTTTTAACGGTTTTAAAAAAGATATTTTTTCCTAAATTTTCGCCCATCGAGAATGTAATTTAATTTTTGTGTAAATTCCTGACAAAACCAACAATTCCCACTATGGGCCACTTGCTAAAATTTAAAGAAGGGGCCACTTTTCGTGATCTTAGCCGGGTGCATTTTTTTTTCATACGTACACGCCGCATCTTCTCGAGTGTTCTTATAAGATTTAAATCCGCTTCCGGGGTTGATTGGCCCACTAGAAATGGCTTTAGACAATCAAAAATACTTTGGGTAATTGTACAGCGCAACGAACGCGTGGCTTTTTTGTGGTTTTCCCCCAATTATTTTTCTCCTTTCCATTTTTCCGGATCTTGGTGCGGCAACCAAATTTTTGTTAACTGAAATAAGTAGGTTGTGATCGGATAGTCCTCGGAAACGTAATGCGCCCAGCATTCTGCCCTTGTTAACGATGTTAACTTTGCGCATGACGCGGCCGTGTTGTCGTTTACATTGAGAAGGCCATGGCATAAGTTCCCCCCTCTTCCACTTTGCCAAACAAGAAGAGGTAATCGGGGGTGTACTCTTCTTCGAGTTGCGCAGGATCGGGCGTGTAAAATTTAACACAGAAGTGTAAGAGTGGATCGACTAGTGAAAGTCCGAGTTGGCGCGATATCGGTTTTTGCAGATCCAACCAGTACTAAAATAAATGCTTAACAATCTTTACGTTAGTGTTAAAGGTATTACCTTTGTACCAGTAAGATCTTGGTATTCTAGACCGAAATAATCAGCTTCTAGCAGATGCAATTGCTTGCATACTTGTTCAAACAGCACTCGCCCAACTGCTTTCGCCTACAAAAATTAGCAATAAAAAACAGAATTACACATGACATGCAATTATCCAATGTCCACATCATACCAGTACATACTAGCAGTAGGCATAGCTTCGATTAATTATTTACAATCCAATTTTGATAATCAACTGTAATAATCAAAGAATGTTGTATAAACAACGTCATGTAGACGTTATTTTGGTCCAAACACCAAAAGTAATGACGGGACATCCTGTATATCGGAGTACCTATTTCAATTACCAAGTGTAAATTTGGGGGATTATCTACGAATAAACACAGAGTTGGTTTATTGTATTTGAATTTGTTATCTCAGTGTTGTTTTTCCTTTTGGAAATTTTGTAATTGTATAATTGTTGCTTAAATTTTATCACTTTTGTAAATTGCTTATTTAGATTTGTGTATTTAAGGGCACGCCGCAAATAGTGGAGATACACTTATATTACCTTTTGCTTTATGCGATTGCCGAAAGAAGCACGCAATGGCATAAGATATTTTTACTTTATACTAAAGTCACTGTAAAGATGTAAATTAATATTGCTCACGCTACTTCTGTCATTTTACTTTCAAGAAAATTCAGCCTTAGTTGTTTTGTTGGAGACGCAGTTTGTCGATTTCGAAATAAAATGTGCAGAAGTTAGGCTATTTTCATAAAAGATTTAAGTTAACGTCCAATGAGGTAGTAAAAGTTGATGGAGAAGCAGTCTGCTTAGTGAAACCTTTCTAAGAGGTATGTCTTTAATTAAAAGTTTCTACCATCTGAGCAGCATTGGGCGAATGGAATGAGCTTACTCGTATATCTCGAGAACGGGGAAGCGATTGTTGTAGGTCTACAGCAGCTCTACATGACCGCGGAGTCAAGGGTTTACTCGATTATATCTCGAGAAACATGTGTCGTAACGGGGTACTCACGTTGGGACTGTGGTAGGTCTAGACCCTATATGACAAAGAGGTCAAAACTTTAATCTTGATATCAGGTGTCGGAACCAGATACTCACAAAGGGCTTGTGACAAGGCCTATATCAGCTATACGCACTGTGCCCAAGATAAGGATATCTATCATGGGGATTCTCAATGCATTGTGTGCAGGGGCACCATGCTGTTGAAACCAACAGTTTCCATTTTTTCTGTTTTTGTGTGCTGTACATCGTATTCATAATAAAAAATGCTACTCAATACTGTATGTACGTTTTTCACAGGTTATACAAAAAAATACTTATACGAAATACGAAACATTAAAAATCTCTCAACGCTGTCTTGTAGAGCTCAAATAGTGGCAATGAGAACATGTTTTTTTTTATTTTTTGTATTTGTTCACATCACATCAGAAAAAAACAAAAGCGCCAAATTTCGATTTTTGTGGCATATGTTCGGAAGTAATCGGAATTTTCTGGTTTTCTTTACGCAACTTTCCCCTAATTTCACCATCTTATATGGTTTCTGAGATCCCCATGATAGACATATTTATCTTGGACACAGTGTATAATGGCAGGGCCAAAACTTCATTCATTTACAACCATAACGAATACTCAGAAAGAGGTTATGGTAGGTCTAGACTAGAGTTACATGACTTAAATCATTTATATCTTGATACTAGGGTGTTGACATGGGGTACCCACTCACAAAGGGCTTGTAATAAAGTCTAGTTCATTCCACATGATACTAGGATCATACTCACAAAGGACTTATGAAAGGTCTAGGTATATTAGTTCTACATGATGAGATATTCACAAAGAGCCGTGCGCATTGTTACTGTTGTTAACTGGCACAAAAAATAAGAAATTCAGCCAAATTAACTTTTCTTACGTGACGTCAGTCGCGTGCGTAAACCTATGCTAATTAATATCTCTTCAATGCATACATCATTTTGGATGAAATATCCGTGGCAATGTCGCGGCTCTGACGATGGGGTCAATTGTTTACTCACTCGATTCTTGAGAAAGCGGTTTATGAACGGGCTACTGACGAAAGGATTGTTATGGGTCTAGGTAAGATCTGCATGATGACCACATTAAGACTTCTAATCGCCTGTTTCTCGAGAAGGGGGTGTGGGAACAGGCTACTCACAAAGGGGTTGTGCTAGCCTAGACCAGCTTTAAGTACATGAGGGCATGGTTAAATCTTCAATCGCTTATACAGGGTGACAATTTGAAAACTTACCACCCCCCATATCTTAGCAAATGAACAAGATATTTAAAAAAATCAAAATCCGTTTCGGTAATTCGGAGGGGGAATCACAATTACATAGTTGGCGACGCACCCCCTCACACCCCCTGCGCCCCAGCCACCCCAACTTTTAAATCTTAAATAGTGACCCCCCATGTGTGATACGTCGTTGGAAAGCTCTGAAAAAATGCTTTCCAACCATACCAATAGCATTACATTTAGGTTAGTAATTATCGTGGAAATTAAAAAATAAACTAATATGATACATTTTCTAAAGTTGGCTTTTATTTCAATAAATGTTCAAAATGGTTTCCGTTCTTGGTAAGACAGTATTACTATGCGATCAAAAATGAGTTGCTGTCGAGTCGCCCTTTGAAATTTTTGTTTACATGGAAAATCGTATTTAACTTGAACATCCAAAGCCGACTCGACAACAACAACAACAACAAAAAGTTTGTTTTGCTATTTGCACATCAGCAATGAACAATTTGTGCCCAACTTAAACTGGCTGTGAGGTTCAAGCTGCAGATCGAGTTTTGTGAGTTTTCGTCATTCAGTCACTTGTAAGGGGTTTATGGTGTGAAGGATGTGGGGAAAGGGCGGAAAACTTTCAGAAAATACTTTTGCCTTGCCATAGACTTAACACCATACTAAAAGCAGGTTTTCTATACTATAATAGTCCAAGAGCCAGTGAGATAATTCAGTTCAAGATCTCTTTTCGTGTGAATATTGAGGGACTATCATCCCAGAGCACAGATCCTGAAAAAATCTCCTCATCTTGAAATGAACAGTCCTCACAATTATTTAGTTTCCCAGCAAATGCGCCTTGTTCTAATTTAGATAAAGAACCAAAACGGTCGCTGATTTGAATCCGTCTGAGAGCATGCGACTATTGTGGTTGTGTAGTGGGTTGGGTTGGAAGAGCATTCTTGCCTAAAAGCCCCCTCGCTTAAAAACCCAAATAAAATAAAAAGAAACTAAAACGTTATATTCATAACAGATTACATGAACAGCAAAATATTTTAACTACAGAATCATTTGAATAGATTAAACAAATTAAGGAGGATTGTAAGTGTCTGCCATGGCCACTGGCTGATCAAACTGCGCCCATGTTCTGTAATGAGGCAGAAGAAACCTAAAGCCGAGCCTAAACCTAAAAGTACCCATGTACTCTTAGCCTAAACTCAATGTACTTTTACAACAGTTTGTCCTCGAAATCATAATCTCTTCTTGAAAACTTTCTTGAAACATGTGTACCCAGTATACTATAATTAAAGTTTGAATCTGAGTTGCATGTTTTGCAATTGTGTACCTAAAAAATATTCAAAACAAGAAAAAAAGAAGTTGACACACCTGTACCATTAAATAGGAACAAAAATACAAGATAAGATACTTCCTACAAGATCCTTCAATAGATTGAACAAATTAACCAGGATTGAAGTTGTCCTCTATGGACACTGGCTGATCATGTGCCGTGAAGAAGCAAAAGAAACATTCACTTCTCCAACACAACGTACAATTTATACTCTGCATCCACATAAGAAATAGAAAAGATAATTTCTTTCTTGAAACGCCCAGTATACTATAATTGTAATTGGAATCAAAGTTGCATGTTTTACGATTAAGTATCTAAAAAAATATTCAAAATAAAAGGACAATATTCAAAACAAGAAAAAAAGAAGTTGGCACACAAGCTGTGTAATTAACCATTAAATACAGACAAAAAATACAAGAGAAGAAAGAAGAAAATATCCCTAATGCATCTTCTTGGATACAAGACTGTTCATTTCATAAAAACTTTCTGCATATGTCTCACTTGACAATCAAATTATGAGAGACTTCTATAACTTTACACACGGTAGGCATTTCTTTTGATAACTAAAAACAAAAAAGTAATGCCATACAATCAAAAACAGATTTAATGTAGGTAATAATTCCCAAACAAACCAACAATATTAAAGCACAGTTTAATAAAAAAAATTAAAGAAATTGACAGAATCAGCAACATAGTTTATAGAGAAATGATGTATTGAAAATATCCAAGTGCCTGGATCTGATATATTGATGCTTTTTGAGCCTACATTTCCATGAGTAATGTTATGATTTTGTCCAAATTAAAATCTCATCTATTGATACTTATGGTAACAGCAATGGGTTCCATAATTGATGCTATTATTATTACCATTACGGTAGCTATGGTTGGCAGATGGTTTATGGAAATAATAGATCATACTCAATATTGCAACAAACAAACACAGCAACACTATAAGTATTCAATATGTTGACTCTGTTGGGTCAATTGATATTATGTTTCAGTTTATCATTTTTTGTTTTTTTCTTTTATATAAAAGAAATTGCTTATTCTTACCAAAATCACTCACCTGAACTTGAAATATCGTAATACTATCGTCGAGCATTTGTACACGAATGGCGAGCATTTTTCCACCTTTTTTAGGGGTCGCTGGTGGTGTTCTCGCGCCACCGTCGACACCGGCTGGTGTGGAATGAGAATGATGCATACCAACAATCGTGTTGCTTATATTCGATAGCTGCCCCGTTGAGGCACTTGTGTCACGATTGCAGTCCATGCCACGCACAAAAAATTACGACACGACCATTACGTTTGCCTATAAAATAAAAATAAATAAATAGTTTGTAGGTCAGCTCGAGTAAGGTAGCTAGAGTGCATTTAACTAACAAAAAATCAAAGAGTAATCAATAAAAAATTATTCAAAGGATGTACTGACACAAATATTCTTGTGCCTAATTAAATTTTAATTTTTCATTAAAAAATCTGAAAAATAGATAAGATACTCACTGATGGTATTACACTTTGCCATTTTGCACTAAACAACCATTTAATTAAGAAAAACAACTAAATAAATAATAATTAAAATGCAAACATTAAACTATATTATGATAATAACAACGTTCGAGGAAGAAGAACCTATATAGACTGTTACTGATAAAGGGAGAAAGGGATAGTTTTACGTGCGTCTTAGATAAAATTTTAAAGAAGCAAAACCCACCCATGGTCATTGATCTCAATTTTACTAAATACGGGAACATATTTGTCAGTATTTTTGTAATATTTTTAATAATTATACAATCAAAGGTACTCACAATCATGACGTTTTAATGAGGATTTGTCCCTGAACTTTATAATTTACTATCTCTGTCGCATATTGGGTCACACACCCTCCCTTCTATGCAACCGCCATTTTACAAATGTTTACGAAACTTTAAACAATTTACATTACACTACTTTGTTGCTATCTTTAGTTGGATGCTACGTTGTGTAAGAAAAGAGAAAGATGGCGAATAAATCGTGACGGAACCATAGAACACTTTCTACCAGTCGAAAACCTACAGTCTGTGCTGAAAAAGAACAGAGTAGATGGCGCTTACTTGTCTACCTATGTTATCTATTCTGTTAGTCCCTATTTTACTTCAACTTGAACTTTTCAACTACTTTGTAACTGAACCTACATTCAAGAGCCGCAGGGGTGTAAATGCATGTTTTAGGAACGGTGCATTTGAAATTATAAAGTTTGGGGTAATTTCTTTTGATGAGGATCGTTTGCGCTCATAAGTTGGTGTCCAAATACCTCTCTTTTAAACAGTTGTGGTGTGAATGTAGAATTGTGTAGTCTTTTATAACTGGTGCGAACGCGCTATAGTTTACATGAACTTAGTATTTGTCGAACAGTAGGTACTCTCGCTGCCTTTCGTCCGCGCTGTTTCTGATCCATCTTGCTTTAATGTTCGTCTCGAGTCGCGCGACCTACACCGATCAAGTTATGCGACGCACGGAATCAAAGGATGAGTTTTCGACGCGCGATCCTTAGTCTGGCGTCCTGTCACGGTCGCCACTAATGTTGCTGATAAGAGCGCACCCAGCTCTAAGAACTCCTGCTCCTGTTATTTTAAAAAGTAGATGCCCGGCTAAACACCCTTGTTTTACGAGGGGGAAGAGAATGTTTCTGTTAAGTAAATACTTCATATTCGTACTGCTTTTCGGTAATTCACCCTAAAATTGATAGGGCTGCCATCCTGTTTTTAAGTCCAGCAATCATAATTGGATTTTATTTGAAATAAAAGTAAAAATGAATATTTTTAAAGCATTTTCCAACTCATGTTGGGAGGCGTTATTATTGGCACTTTCTCCGTCCGTCCGAGGTCCGTCTAAGATTTCAAGATATTTAGTTAGTTGATCGTTCTTTTGCATTCGGTACAGCTTATTATTGCTCTGGCACCTCAACAAAGAAAGAATCTTGCGAATGCGCAGACTGCGCAATATCAACTTTCTAATTTATTGAGAGATTTTTTTGAAATGTTGACCATAGAAACTTCTAGTAAAGAAAAATAAAGAAAAGCGCGTAGAGCTATGGCCTTTTGGCAAATACTGATCAATGCATGGAACATGCGCTAAAGTTACTCGTCTTAGGACGAAAACCTTTTTTATTTTGGCTCGTAGCTCATATCCAAAACGTTGTAAGAAATGTCACTACCAAATTGCGTTGGGTTTCTTGCGCGGGTTACAGGAGGTCAAGTAAAAAATTGGATAGTTTTTCCGTAGCATGGCGAAACCAAAATTTCTGAGAGCTAATTACCACCCACAAGTTTACCATTTTTTTACGAAAACGCCATCAGTTAATTAAAGCAATCAAGTTTAGCTAAATCAATACTCCTTGACTATAGACGAAGCCCACAGATACCAAATTTGTTTGAAGTTGTCAGTGTAAATGTCAATAACGATTACTAAGTAAGAAAACATTAATATTTAAAAGGATGAGACGTGGAGATGATGATACACGACTTGAAAATCCACGGGCACGAGCCAACTGGCTCTCAGTTGCCACATTCTGGTACATAACCGAATTGCTACTGGCAACGTTTTCTAATTTTTCTTATACCCAAGGTATACCTTTAAAATCTTTCGAATGGGTGCCAGAGCTGAACTAGTCGAAGACGACTTGATGAAACCTTTAAAGAGCCACGAGGCTGGAATGTTAGGCGAGAAATACTCTAGAACATGGACAGCGGAATTGAATAGAGCCGAAATCGAACACGACTCGCCCAGTTTATCTAAAGTTATAAGGACACGCATTTTTGCAGAGTTTGTATTGTACGGTTGCTGGTTATTTTTTATGGAAGTTGTAATCCGGTACAACTAGCATACAATTAATAGGTATAGCTAATTTAACTGTTTTTTTTTAAGATTGTATCAACCAATTTTTATCGGTCTTTTGGTGCGATATTTTGACCCAACAAATGATCTCAATACATTACCGTAAGTGCTACAGCTTCCTTAAGTACCTACTTGTGTTTCGGTTTTAATTTTTTTTTAATAGACGGAAGGAACCTCTTTATTTCAATAGAGCGGTGTTTTTTACACAAAAGAATCAGTGCGCCATTTCGAAGGAAGAAGCCTACTTTTACGGATCGAGTGTTTTCCTGATCTCCACAATAGTTACTGCAATTCTTCACCCTAATTTAACAGCCATGATGCACTTGGGAATGAAAATAAGAGTTGGCTGCTGCTCATTAATTTATCGTAAGGTTAATAACATTGTTTCTACATTTTAGGTGTTAACGATACACTTGCGCATGCCCAAAAGCTTTTCAGCTCTTCCTTTTATGTCTGAGAACATGTGTACCAAATTTGGTTCCAATCGATTCAGCGGGTGGTAAAAAGAGTGTTTGTAGGTGTTACGTATAAGATTAACAGCTCTAGGAGATAAAGTGGTTGGAAGAGCCATCAACTTAATGTCAAACGATGTGATGAGATTTGACATGGCACCACTATTTTGGCACTACGTATGGATTAGTCCTTTACAGGCCCTAATTATAACGTACTACATGTATCAAGAATTAAAAACTTCCGCTTTCATTGGAATGCTAGCAATGGCGGCAATCATGCCATTCCAAGGTATGATCCAATGGATAAGTCGCTTTACTAAAGTGATCATTTTCAGCGTGGCTGGGGCGTCAAATCAGCAACACGAGGTACACAACGGCATTCCGTACTGATAACCGGGTGAGGCAGATGAACGAAATTATACGAGGGATGCAAGTCATAAAAATGTACGCGTGGGAAAATCCATTTTTGAAGAAGATCTCTATCTCTCGACAGTAGGGGAGTACACCTACCAGTCAAGGGTTACAGAAATTGCTTACAGGCACGAAATAAACTCGCTGCGAATCACTTCTTATATAAAAGGTGTTATAATGTCCTTCATCATGTTTACCGCGCGGTTTGCATTATTTTTGAGCATCACTTCATATGTCTACAATGGCAATGAGCTTTCATCTGAAACTGTTTACGTGGTAGCGGCCTACTATGAAATTTTGAGGCAGACCATGACGGTATATTTTCCGCAAGGGGTCGCACAAGTATAACTTACGTGAGTTATTTTAATGTTGTGCATAATCCCCTGGTTATAGATCGCGGAAGCTTCCGTGGCAATAAACCGAATTCGTGAATTTCTGCTGTCCCCCGAGGCAGATGTCGGCGATAAAACTCCTATGGATCCAGACAGTAAAAAAAGAGGGGCAAAGAGTACAACGAAGACCGACATTAGTCTAATGGCGAGGAGGATGGGTCTTCCAATGGGTATTGTAATTGAAGGCGCATGGGCAAAGTATGAAGACGAAGTCTGTTTAAAGAACATCGATCTGGTTGTGGTACCCGGACAATTAACCGCGCTCGTTGGTCAAGTTGGTGCTGGTAAAAGTTGCATGCTTCAGCTAATACTTGGCGAGCTGCCGCCGTTCGTTGGGACCGCGGAAATGTACGGCACGGTGTCTTACGCATCACAAGAACCGTGGTTGTTCGCAGGTGAATCCTTCCCCACATTTTTCCAATCGAACCAGTGCAACATATTTTAGGGAGTGTCAGGCAAAATATATTATTCGGACAACCGTATGATAGAAGTCGATATAGAGAGGTAGTTAAAGTATGCGCTTTGGCGCGGGATTTTACTCTTTTGCCGTATGGAGATAAAACTATTGTTGGTGAAAGAGGGGCATCTTTAAGTGGTGGTCAAAGAGCTCGAGTCAATTTGGCACGTGCCGTTTACAAACAAGCGGACATTTATTTACTGGATGATCCGCTGTCTGCTGTGGACACTCATGTTGGACAGCACTTATTCGACTATTGCATTAGTCAATATTTGGGCAGCAAGGCGGTGGTGTTAGTCACACATCAGTTGCAATATTTAAAACAAGTACCGCAAATTGTGATAATGCACGAAGGGGAAATTTTGATTAAGGGAAGCTACTCATTTTTACAAAGTAGTGGCTTGCAGTTTTCAAATATTATTGGGGAGGACACAGAATCTGTTGCACGTTCGAATACTGCGCCTACCAACCAGTTGCAAGATATTTTAAGGAACATTTCTATCACCAGTTCAATGGGGGTTAACGTACAAGCTGGAGGTGATAATGTACGTACAAATGTTCTGAAGGACAAGTATGCAGCCAGAACTGTTTTAGGAGCCACAGGAAGAACTTGAAATCCGATCATATGGTGCAATAGACTGTAAATTGTTCTATCAGTACTTTCGTGCAGGCGCCCATTGCTGTGTACTGCTACTGTTACTATTGTTCTTTTGTGGGGCACAGTTTTGTGGTTCATCAACAGATTTTTACCTTTCTGACTGGTAATTGCAAAATTACATTTTATACCTTCTGACTAATGCGTTAATAGGATAAAGCAGCATGGACAAAGGAATTCAACTATTGCAAATGACAATCGTACATCGATTAAAGATTTTATAACGACTTACTCCATATACATAGGTACCACAGCACTTCTGGCACTTTCTCGATCATTCTTCTTTTTTACCGTATGCATGCGCGCCTCTGTAAAGTAAGTAATCCAAATTTTTAATACGCACATTCACTCAAGGTAGGTACTACAGTGACTTTATAAGTTTTATAACTTTATAAAGTCACTGTAGTAGGTACCATCAGCGTGTCTTAGTAACGCTATCATAATGACTGATGAAATTGAAATTGTAAAAGTTCGGGTAACTGGAGTGAATTGCGCTCATATTAAATTAAATATTACCTATTCGGCAAACAACATTCACAAAGTAAAAAATAGTATGTAGGTACCTATATGGCACAAAAACGTTAACACAATATTCAGACGGGTGGTTTAATAAGCTATTTTCATATTTAGTACCTACAGGCATGGTTTCTGTTGGTGCTTGTCTAAATAGATAGAAATGCTCCCTTGGTCAGCAGTGAACTTAAGCTATTGAAATAGATTCTCGGCTACCGCCAAGTGGGACCCATGTTTCATGAGTCAGATGGCATATATAAAAAAATTTTTAGATGTTCTTTATTAATTCTTGAATGATGAACTTTTTTTGAAATACTTTTCCAATTTTTCAAGGGATTTTTAAGTTACTGAGAATTATTCAAAAAGTCTCAGAGGTTGTTTCAACATTATTACTATAGCTTCTCCAGATTCCACAAAAATTCTGAATTTTTCAAAAATTTTACTTCGTGAAGATTGTTCTCGTGTGGTATCCGACGTTGAGAAAAAACACTAACATACTCCTAACAGTTTAGATAGATCAAGGGATGGATATGCGCTTGTTACAGCAACCCGTGTAAAGCAACCAGAAATGATAAACAATTTGCAGATGCATATACAGGGTGTCAATTGTAAAACTTGCATTCGGCCATATTTTCCAAACTAAAGAAGACATTAAAAATCGCGAAAACCATTTCGGGGGTATCGAGGGGGAACCAGAATGATGTTATGAGTGACAACCCCTCACCCCCCTTTACCCCCTCTTCAAAAATCCTAAATGGGAACCCTGCCTACTTGTGACACATCGTTGGAAAGCTACTGAAAAATGCTTTGATAAAGTCAATATTCATTAACAATTTAACAAAAATGTTATAATTAACAATAAAAAATAAAAATTAAGCCATGCCTATATATGTTCAAGATTTGGTCGCTAAATTCGAAGAAACGGGATCTGTTATCAATAAAAAAAAGAATGCAACCAAGATTGCTTAATGAAGCAACTCAGGTTGAAGTTCTTGGCCAATTTGCCATAAATCTCTCAATGTCAACATTTTTTTTTGTTAATTATTAACACTCATAACGTCATTCTGGTTCCCCCTCGATACCACCGAAACAGTTTTGCGCGATTTTCAATATCTCTTTAGTTTGAAAAATATGGCCGATTGCAAGTTTTAAAATGGACACCCCGTATAAAGGCCATTGTTGCATGGGACTCTTGTTTCCTTTTTCTCTTTTAATCATGATTTCTATTTTTTGTATGTTCCTTAAACAGTTGGCCTTGCCGTGTAGGTGCGGAAGGCACAGGCACTGGTGCATTTCGTAGAGAAGCGACGAATCAACAGTGCGTCGGTCAACCAACAACAAACGGTTAGAAATTGAGGAGGTTCTAGGGTTAATAGAGTAAATTTGTAATCTGTTAAGGTGATGGATGTTGAAAAAGAAGGTATATCGACTGTGACTATTTCCTTTTACTTTATTTTGACTTTCGCGGACCATTTAGGTACAAACTGTAGAGTAATAGTGTTGTTATGTTATGTTATGATAGGAGCCTTTAATTCTACGCCACTCTTGACGGTTATCTGAACTTCATTCTAGTTCTGCACTTTATTTGTTGAGCGAGGTTTTTTAAATTACTGACGGCCGGTTGCAAAAAATCGAATTATAATCAAAATCCTACATTATTTGCCAAATCTGAGTTTAAACAAGAATTTTGACATTTGATTGGCTGCATACTGCAGTACAAAGCCAATCAAATGTCTTAATACCGGATTAAACAATGATCCTGGATTATTTTTTTTATGCATCTGGTTGAACGACTCATAAAAATATTGATACACCAAAGCAAATAAATCATTTCACACGCTTTTAGCCTGCATAACAGGATGTTTAACAGCGTTGTCAGATCAACGATGCGCTTTTTTAACGCCAATCCCTCGGGTCGCATCTTGAACAGATTCTCAAAAGATTTGGGTGCAATAGACGAGCTTCTGCCAAACGCGATGATCGACACTGTGCAAGTATGCAATTAGCGTGGTCTCAGTAGCACCAAATATTCTTCCTTGCAGATTTTCCTGAACTTAGTAGGCGCTTCGGCAGTGATAGGAGTAATAGATCCAATATTACTGGCACCAGCACTTGTAATCTCTATTTGTTTTTTGCTGTTGCGGAGATACTACTTGAAAACAAGTCGTAGCATCAAACGGCTTGAAGGCATAAGTGAGTCTAAAAAAGTTAACTTATTAGTCAGATATAAATGGTGTATTACAGCAACGAGCCCTGTTTTCTGTCACCTGAATGGCACTTTGCAGGGATTAACAACGATTCGAACCCATGGGCAGGAAGTATTACTTACAAGCGAATTTGATAAACTTCTCGATCTACACAGTGGTGCATGGTATCTATTTCTCTGCACGTCAAGAGCATTCAGTTACTGGATCGATTGCCTTTGTTGCGTTTTTATTGGCGCAATCGTATTTATGTTTTTCGCCAAACAAAACAGTAAGTACAATTTTTTGACCAATTAAACAACCTTAGTGCGAAATTGATAAACATGTAATAAATTGCAGAGCCGTACAGTTCGGAAGTCGGAATCTCAATAACTCAGTGCCTAGGCCTCACTGGCTTACTTCAATGGGGTATGCGACAATCCGCCGAGTTAGAAAACCAAATGACTGCAGTCGAACGGGTACTCGAATTTACGAAGATAGAACAAGAACCACCTTTGGAATCGGTATTATATGTACTTTTAGGAAGCGTTACTTTCCAAATTTTTAGAATCCTGACTATAAACCTTCAATCACGTGGCCATCAAAAGGAAGAATTACATTCAGGAATGCCTACATGAGATATTCCCCAACAGAACCACCTGTCCTCAAAAACTTAAACTTTGTAATCGAACCTAAAGAGAAGGTGGGTAATATACATGTGATTTCCACCTTAAGCGAACTCCGCCAATTTTAGATCGGAATAGTCGGCAGAACCGGTGCAGGGAAATCATCTTTGATCGGGGCTTTGTTTCGATTAGCCTACTTTGAGGGAGAGATCATCATTGATAATGTTGATATCGGAAGGCTGGGTCTGCACGATTTACGGAAAAAAATCTCAATTATTCCACAGGTACGTCCGTATGAAGTGCCAAAAAATAATTGAAAATTTAGGAACCCATCTTGTTTTCGGGTACAATACGATACAATTTAGATCCTTTCGAGGAGTACCCCGATACTTCTTTACTGGCGGTTCTTCAAGTAATAGAGATCAAATCTGCGCTTCAGGATGGAGTTGGTACTTAGCGATCGTATACCGGTATGGAAAAACATTATTGTGGGTCTGACTTATAATAAGTAAAACAAAGACAGTGCTAAGAGAGAGAATACACGTCTTTTAGTAAGCTTGTATCAATGACACATAATTACTACATTCAACATTGGTAAAGATATGTCTCTCTACACTTATTGTTGTTTTTTTACTTTTTAACGTATTATAGGTAAGTCAGACCCGCAATAATGTTTTTCCACACCTGCCTGTATTTAATGCAAGATGTCTAATTTAAGCGTGCTTGGATCTAATGGTATCCGAAGGCGGTTCAAATATTAGCGTGGGATATAGGCAACTAATTTGTCTCGCGAGAGCCCTTCTGAGAAATAACAAGATACTCGTGCTCGATGAAGCTACTGCTAATGTCGATGCACAAACGGATAAGTTTATCCAAACAACAATCCGAACCAAATTCGACAACTGTACGGTACTAACAATAGCTCATCGATTACACACAATCATGGATTCTGATAAAGTAATAATTGGTAAAAGTTTTGTAAAGTAAATACACACTACCTTTGAAGGTTTTGGTGATGGATGCGGGAGAACTGGTTGAAATGGACCACCCCCACAACTTATTTAAAAACAAAAATGGGAATTTCAGTGGAATGGTACGGCGAATGGGTCCCTTACTGGAGGAACAGTTAAAAAATATTGCGAAGCTGGTAAATTTACATTTTGCAGCAATGATTTTATTGCACTGACATCTGACTGAAGCAGAGTTTTTCACGAGGAGCAAACCAAACTTAAATCTTGCATCCTGGAATTCTTATAATAGCAAAATAACTACCTTGGAATTCCACAAAGTTTCTAGGAAATCCTTTGATTTTATCTAAATTTCTACAGTGAAGTAGACATATTATAGTAGGGATTTAGATTTACATGTATTGTTTTTCCCTATGTCTACTTTTAAAAGACAAATCTCTTCTGAAGGACAGTTTGTGCAGTGTTGACGTTCTTCGTGTATATTTGGGGCTATATCATAGAAATGGTAAAAGAATGTTCCATTCATATGCTATAATTATTTTGTTTCTGGTTAATCGAGTAAAAGTACTAACACGTAATAACACCACGTCTCGTAAGAATAGAGTCTAAAACTCTGGGATATTCTCGAAGAAACTGTTGGGCACACTTTATTTATTTATTTATTATCCCTCTCTTGTTCTGGGCCCTCAACAGGCTTGTGCCCAATTACAGAGTGACCCGCATAATGCTTTTTAGAGGTGCCTCTGCGGAAGGTCTTAAGTTGTTCGATTCTACTCCAGTATTTACCTTACGAATTAGGAAAACCTAATTCGGAGTAGCCGGCAGAATGCTCAAAACTGGTCTAAGGAAATACCCATCTCTGTCACAGATGAAAAATTCTTAACTTAGTCCAGGTTCGAACACCCGACCTCCGGCTTTGTAGCCCAACGTTCTACCATTGAACCACAAAGTCAGTTGGCGCTCTCGATTTTGTGGCTTTCGGAAATCACGTGCACGCATACAAACATGTAGAGCAAAGCCGATTAGATTGAAATATTAACATAATATCAGGGTGGTAACAGTTTAAGAACTGTAAAAAAAAGCTCCAGTTTGTCGCGTGGAGTGTTGGTTGCCTACAGCCATCATTTCCATGCCGTGATACAAAGTCTTGATCCATGCATTTGGTCCGGTTTTTTTTTCAAGTATACATAGCCCATTTTAAGAAGAATTCCCTGTAGGTATATAAGGTTTGCAATATGAATTAACCATAATTTGTTGAAACGGGACTGTTTCAAACACAGCACCTTGTAGTCCGCATATGGCGCTTGAGACAAAGTACCTACTCACTATTTTGACAATAATAATGCGGGCATTCATAGGCATTCTCCCCCAAACCAAATTATGTAACAAAATACGGCTGAACTTCCTTGGATTTCCTGTTAAACTCCCTTGGATTTTCTTGATCTCTCAGTTCTTTCATCCTCTGGACCTCAATTCTGTACAATGACTTCATACCGCAGTTTATCCCTCATATTTGATATTCACAGTATTCTTAGGAAGTTCGATTTAAAGAATAACAAAAAATCTTCATATAACCCTATGATATTGTATGCATTTGTTACTAGCCTTAAAATATTCCAGAAAAAACGGAATCATGTCTATATGTTATAAATAATTGTTTTGTTGGAGAACTGGGACTATGGTATTTGATTCAAATGTGACAAAACGACCAATAAATTTCTTTGTGTTAGTGTGGCATCTAAAAAGATTGCTTAATAAAGAAACCTGCTCACAACCAAAGCTGAGCTGTGTCTGAATAAAAAGTGCTTTCCAAAATTACATCAAATTTCGAGTAATCAATTGTAAGCTACTTAACCATTGTTTGTGCTTGGAAATCACTTTAAAGTATCATTCCCTTGTTTCTCATCTGAATAGAAATCTATTCACATTTTTTTACAGTTCAAGGTGAATTTATTAATATAAAAATTGATTGAAAGTGCAGATCAAGTATTTATTGTGCAATAATTTTCACCATAACGAAAGTAAAAAAAGCATTGATGACATCCATCATATTATATCTGTCAAGCAACAAGTGATAATTAGGTTATTGTTTTGAGTAATAAAATAAATGAAGCTCACTCTGTGTTGCTTGATGTCTTGTCTATCCCAAAATAGGTAATTCCAGTGTATTTTAGGATTATGAGAAGAAATTTGGAGCAACAGCAGCACCCCCAACTCCGAGCCCAACTCCCAAGAAAAAATAATAGTAGATCATCTTACTTAATGTTACGTTAATGTTTAACTTATGACTCATGAATATTGTAAAAAATAGAAGTAGTGTTAGTAAAGTCTAGATTTAAAAAGTTTATTTTAGGTGTATATTATGCAGAATCGTGTTTTGCTTTCCAAGTAAGGTATGGTCTTAGGAGTGGTTGTAACATGATAGTGCAACTTTGGTTCAGTTCACTGACATGATCAAGAAACTTGATTGGATATTTTTAAATTTGAACCAATCAAATTTAGTCAGTCTACCGAACTCAGGTTGAACTATTATGATATAGGCTATACACTTATAACAATGAAAACTTCAATACATAAAAGTAAAAAGAAGAAGACAAGGGACTGAGAGTAAAATAAATAACACAATATAGAAACACATTAGAAGTGACAGAATAAAAATAAATTGGAGTCAAACATACGTACTAATTCGAGCTTCAATGAGATACAAAGTCAGTTGGTTTGCAGTTAATGCATTTAATTAAAAAAGTAATTAGAGATGAAATATATTGGCATATTAATTGTAAAATATTAAAATTATACAGACGTTTCTTTCACTCTCGACAGTAATTGGTCACAAGTTTTCTTTGCATCTCCCAGCAACATCGCTGTGTTCGGTTTATAAAATATTGGATTATCGACAGCTGCATAACCAACACCCAAAGACCTCTTCATTACGATAACCTGCAAAGTTTCATGCACGTCATATTATGGTCGAAGCTTCATTGCATCGGCTCACCTGCTCCGACTGCCACACGGTCAACACTGGCATCCCGGCAATAGGAGAGTTAGGGTCTTCTAGTGCCGCGCTATTAACAGTGTCATTTGCGCCGATAACTAGCACCAAATCAGTTGCGCTAAACTCCTCGTTAATTTCGTCCATTTCGAACACATCATCGTAGGGCACGCCTGCTTCCGCTAACAAAACATTTAGCTGTCCAGGCATACGTCCTACAACCGCATTTAGCATAAAGACACCCGGAAATCTCTACCGTACCTGCGACAGGATGGATTGCAAATCTAACGTTCTTTCCTTTGCTCTTTAAGAACTTGACCATCTCCGCAATCGGATACTGTGCTTTTGCAACACAAAGTCCGTATCCGGGAACTATGATAATATTGCGAGCATTGCTGATCATTTTTGAGGCGTCATCTGCGTTAATTTCGGTGTGCGTGCCCGTAATTTCCATCGGTTTCCCGGTACCAGTACTGGACGTTCCGTAACCTCCCAAAATCACATTTGGTAATGATCGATTCATTGCCTAGAACATACGTTACCAATATAAAGTCGTACTACCTCCGCCGGAAACTTACCACACACATAATATATGAAAGAATCGCACCTGATGAACCAATAAGTGCACCGACAATTGTCATTAGGTTGTTGTTTAACAAGAAGCCTTCCGCACAAAGCGCCCACCCAGAGTAGCTGTTTAGAACGGTAATGACGACGGGCATGTCAGCGCCTATAATTAGACTATCATTATTCATTTGAAACACGGGCGGTGTAAAGACCTCCAATGGCCGATGTTAGAGTTACACCCATTGTCGCAGACACCAGTGAAGTAGCACCTAATGCGGCCAATCCTGTTTCCATCGTAGGGCAATAGAATAAAGCTCCACCTGACGTGAGACTGGCTAACAGTAACGTAGCATTAAGAGCATGCCGTCCTGGCAGTAAAAGTGGATTGGACTTCAATAACCCTTGAAGTTTTCCATACGCAATCAGAGATCCACTGAAATCAAATTATAGTAAGATTCGCTTATTACCTATAAAGGTTACCTAAATGTAATGCCACCAATGTAAGTGCCTAAGAACAGGCTAGTTCTAAGTACGCCAGCCGCTGGATCAGTTGCTAACGTCGGAAAATCGTGCATGTATGTGGAAATACAGGTTAACACAGCCGCAAGACCCACCAAACTGTGAAAGGCTGCAACGAGTTGTGGTAAATCTGTAATTTGTATTTTTTTGGCAATTAAAGTGCCCAATCCGCCACCTAAAGCGGCGCAGGTGAACATTTGCGTTAAAACCTCGGAACTGGGCGACAGTTGCCCTAAAGTGGCTGCGATTCCACCAGTGACCCCTATCTAGAAAGTCAATTTGCCTTACATCCACAAACTAAGAAATCAATAGTACCATGCCAAGGTTGTTACCGAGCCTGGAGGTCTTTTGCGAGCTAAGTCCGCCTAAAGCACCTACACAACATAAGGAGGCGGCGAGATAGGCAGCTTGGTGCACTTCGGACAATCCTTGGGATGCTGCCCAGCCGTAGCCACCCAAAAAAAGTGCCGCTGGAATGGCATATAAGACGTTGTATTCTGGCGGATCTTCTGGTCTACGAATTGACGTTATTTATGTATCTATTACACAGCGTACAATACCTTTTAAACATATCCAACATTCTTTTGGTTACCACAAATCCGCCGAAAATGTTGATAAACGAAATGAAGGCAGCAGTTGCAGCTAAAGCCTAAAACACGAAGATCTGTGAGGCACTTAAAACACTGATCGACACTGCATTGGTGATATACAGAAAACTATATTCAAAACTCCCTAATTACTGGCTCGCTTAACATCAAGTACTCCACTGCAGCACTTCTTACGAGGAGGAGTTACTATTACGTTACCTATACAGGATCATTCTTGACGAGCGTCAGTTAGAAAGATATGGCGAACCTTTGAAAATGAAACTAAACTGATAAATACTGTAAGGGTTTTGGCACATAATAAATTGAACTACTTCTGCAAATAGCGGAAGTAGCCATCAACTGTGTTATTTTAAATAGGGGTCCCCTATTTTTTTTACATTTTCGGATTCTACGTCGAATTTGGAGTACAACGATACCCCATAGTTGCTCCTTTGCTCGAAGGGCTTCGTCGATATTCAAGTTTTTATGTCAAAAATTGAATTTTCAGGGGTAATTTCTTATTCGAAAACGGTAAGAGATATTGCAAAACAGTTTTCACTGCTTTAAGGAATTATCCAATTTTCTTATGGTATGCGTAACCGTATAAAAAAGTGAGACTGTCACTTTTTCAAAGCTCTCAACTTTTAAATATCCGTTTTTTCAAATGGCACTCCCCATTTTTTTCTTCACTGTTGTTTTCCCTTTTACGAGACCTTTAATTTGATACAAAATGTCAAAGGCAGCTTGAAACGGTTTCCGAGATATTCCATGTTTTAGTGACTTCTTGTAGGAAATTGGTAATTTTAATTATGCACATAATTTGAGTAAATAACTGCTTATGACAATTTTGAAAAACAAAAGATAATGCTATGTTTTATTATTTTATTATTCAGAGAAAAATTGGTGGTAGAAGAGACTAAAACTAAAAATTTTTTCCCCAGCTAAATCAAGCGTCTAATATGTTTCACTTGCAAGCTACATATAATTAACGCACATGTTCTGGTGCTGATAACGAAGACGCATATGTTTCGAAGAATTGTTGAAGAAGTTCCGTTTGGCACGTTCTGTTAAGATTGGCGATTTATTTGAAAATTCTTAAGTTTTTTTTATAGTGGCAGTGATGTTTCCTTAAATACTGGAATCAACGTAAAATCGAGGGTGCTAGTTTTTCGCGTGTAACGTGTCAATTTGTTTACGCGAAATTCACGGACAGTCACCCCTTTTTTTTTCCTTGAACACGCGGTTCGTCCATCGTCATTGTTAATAATAAATTTGTGCAGAAGGTTACCAAAGTGGTTAAGAAATTTAAAGCGCGATGTTCGATTACGGAAAAGGATATTGGTCGAGTTGAAAAAGCAAGCAGTTGTAGTGCACAGTGAGGCCTTTTATTAAAAGCTAAAGTTTCTACCGTTCGAACAGTCACCGAAAATTTGTCACTTATTCATCAAGCCAGTTTTGTTCTAATTCCGTGTTATAAAGCAAAGTGAAGTTTAAAAACGTACAGCGCTTGTGTATGAGTTAAGTGCGCCTGAATATCGCAAACCTTGTGTAACCAGATTATATGGGATATCAAAATAAACTGACACTTTTCTTCTGATTACATCTCGTGTTAATACATCTCGAGTTTCCATTGGCTATTGCATCAGGTTGTGACCTGAGAAGAAGTGTTGTGAATATGGTATCAAGAGTAAAACAAATTGCCAGTATTTACATCCATAAGCCAATATAGTCGGGAATTTTAGATACAGCACAGTAACTGAATCGATTTACTTTAGATGACTTTAAATTGTTACTGATAAATCGCCTGTATAATTTTTATTTTATTTTATTTATTTTTTTTTTGCCTTTATTTTTAAGTGGGTGGGGTTTCAGCCGAGGCTGCTCTACCAACCCAACCCACTATACATTTACAAATATCCATGCCCGAACCCGGATTCGAACCAGGGACCCTGTACCGCAGTCGAGCTTCCACTGAACTGCGCTACACGGATCTAAACCTGACACATTCTAGGCATGACATATTTCGAATGCCAAGACTATACTATCTGATCCGCATTCTTCTCACACTCACGCTCATTGTCAATATTTATCAGCCTATCATCTGTTCATGCACCTCTTTAAGTAAACAAACTTGAAAATCTGAAGAATTTCATGTATGCAGATTGATATCGCAAACCCTTATCTCTTCAATGATAATTAATTCACATAAAAACACATAACAAATTTCACCTTTAAACTTCGCCTGTTTCATTGTAATTCGCACGTAACATCTACTTTTTTTAAACCTCTCACTTAACTTCCTTACTATTTTTAGCGCATTTCCACAAAAATAAAAAAAAAATGCGCTATTGTGGCCACTTTGTCCGTCCGTCCGTCCGCTCGTTTTGCGACGCTACTAGTTCTTTATCTTAAGAGCTATGTTCTACTTTTTTCGCTATTTGGTTCGTTATGGTGTCGAGTCTTGTACCAAGGAAGGAATTTTTTCTGTACCGCTTACAAAAAAAGTTATTGTAAAAAAACAAAAAACCGTTTTTTTTACATGTTCTATAATTTTACACTTTTGCCGTTTATTAACGATCCTAGAGATCGTTTATAATTTTGCATTGCTATCTGTCGCCTGCCGGTTGGTCTCTCCGTCTGTTCCTTTGTCTGTCTGTCCATCTATCTGTCCGTGTGAACGATAACTTTGTTTAGAAATGTCCGATCGCTTTTACATCTCCGTTAGTTATGAACTGAATTGCATGAAATTCAA